ACACCGAGATTACAGTGATACAGGAAACAGGGAGCGGGGGGAACAGATGAATCCGGACGATCCCAGACCCACTAAACTCCCCCCAGAAATGGACATGGGGACCCGGACGGCCGTCTCACTTCTGGGAAACTGTGTCATCCTGTCTTTGTCATCATCTCGCACTCAAAGTCGAGATGTATCCGATATATTGTCTAAGGGTCTTCAGTACGTACATCTCTCAGCCAGATGCCCTGTGCTCGACGGCACATGGACCGTGTGATACATTCTGTAATTGTGTGATTCCGTATATCTTTTAAGACGTGTAGTGTGTCCATCACATCTACATGGTGAGGATCAAATAAGCCACGCAAAAGGAGTAACAGGGGGGGTTTATACAGAATGGCCCCTGCCCAGTGATACCATACTGATCCCACCCCCCAAGATTATTTTTTTAATACACATGGAAGATGCCACATAAACTGTGTAAGGAGGGGACATGCATTTCAATAAGCCACAACAGAAGGCTATGTTACCCAGTCTGGACCTTCCTTCCGGGCTTTCTGCCTCTCGGGGGGGTCACATGACTACGGAGGCAAATTTTTGGCAGTCCTCGGTGACATCTACCGCCAGTTCCATAGTCACTCGCAAGTGCAAATGTGCCCTGCTGCCACATGGGAGAGGGAACAAAAATGCCAGGAAGCGCAGGTGCATTGTGGGTAGCTCTAGCCCCCAGTAGCAGGGGAAACGACCCTAAAGGATTGACCAATAGAGAAGCAGCATGGCAGCATTACAACATGCAGTTTCAGAATTGGACAGCGACTGATCTTTTTGGGTAAAGTGCCTGCCGCTCCAGTTACACTTTCCCTGAAGTGGCAGCGAGAGCTGGATCTCATTGTGTTCAGGCCGATGACGGACAAGGCCCAGTCATTCCAAGAAGGCCTTGCTTATTTTACCTTTAACGAATAAACATTCCTAGTTTTCCTTCAGCAGAAATCCAGCGGTATAACCTGAATTCAAACGTGAATATGCATTATGAAGAACCTGGGTGAAGCTTTGTCAGAAAGAACCGTAAAAGGGACCCCTGTAGGCCGTCAGTCACACTGCAGTCAGAGAAAATGGCTTTGCATCAGGCGTCTTTTGTAATGAAACATCCCTTTCGAACTGCAACCTAGCTGGTGGTGCAAAGTCGACTCTCGGACCCCACTGAGCTCCCGGATAACAAGATTTGGGGGCATTTTCTATTCACGGCCCCTTTGTCCTCCACACCAAGCTAACTGCACTCCAAGTGCTGCAAAAATTGAGACTGTTACATTGGATTCATCGTCGCCAAAGCAGCTCCTGCACACGTCAGTGTTTGTTTGTCTGCGGTGGTTTTATTCCTGGTTATCTGTTACTCATTGTTATTTATTGTTTGCTTCTGTGTATATTGGCTTATATTTTTCTGACAGTGTGGTCTGCAGGGACACACAAGTATTTCATTGTACTATGCAAACATGTAAATAATAATAATAATAAAAAACCGACACATATAAACCTCTGAACCTTTTATGTACCTTTAAACTTGTACTTTAATCCACACAGACAGAAGTATTATAAGCAAAATTGTATTATAGATATTCCCAATGCTCATAAACTCTTAGTGACTCTGGGCAAAAGAAACCACTAAACATAGGATATATATGACCTAAAAATAAGAACTGATGTTCTGAAAGAGTTTTTTTTTTATATATCTTTGATGCATCATTTTACAGGCTTGGCAGCATACGTCTCGGCCTGTGATCCCTTAACAATGCAGGTAGAATTTGGACCTTTGAGAGCGGCGCAGTTCAATAAATCAGAGGCGTGTGACAAACGCGGCAGTGATGAGCGCTGCTCAGGAACAACACGGCACCTCAGGTGAGCTTTCCGCATGACGGATGAGCCAGCTGCCGATGGGATGGAGTAACTGGCTGCCTCTGGCCCCCCCCCAACTATCTGTGGCTGATTAAAGAAATGAACAAAAGAGACGGCCTTGTCAAATGGCTGCCCTCGTGCTTTTCTGCGACACTCAGCTCTAAAATAATGGCTTCAGATTAATAAAAAACTGTTTAAAGACGTTAATGAAACATCTTTCGCATGTCGACCGCGTTCTTTGTGCCTCTGAATAGGGATGTTAATTAATTTAGCCAATCTCATCACCAAAATGAATTTAAATGAATTCCTCCTACATTAATGAAATGGAAAAGGAGGAAAACGAGAGATGGACTAATTAGAGGAGAATCCCGCAGACCCTGTACCATTATTGGATTTCGGTTTTGATGTGGAATGTGATGACACTGTCGCCTAACTCTGGAGAGGCAAACTGAATGGTAAAAACATGGTAAATGACAGCTTCGGGGCTCTGGATTATTTTGGGAAGTGTGGGGGGAAAAAAAATGAGGATGAAATGCAAATCCAAAGATAGCACTGCCTTTGCAGGTACCAAGTGCAGACAATAACGAAAAAATCAATAAGACTTCAGGAAAGTCTTGCTGAGAAGAACATACTTTTCAGAGCACAGAGTGGAAATTGATCTTTGGCATGTACTGACAAGTTTTTTTTTTTTTTTTGCTTTTTTTTTAAGATTAGGCCTTAGTACTTGTGTCTCTTCATTACAGTTTGCCCTTTGTTGGACTATTAAATAGACAACTGTTTCTAAATTTGTGTTTTCATGTGTGTGTGGACACAGTAGTGGTGAATAGACATACATTTAAATGTGTTGTAGACTGTGTATTGATTTCAGTGTATTGATGAAAATGTCAGCCAAAGATTTTTTTTCTCTCTGTGCTGGAAAAAAAAACTATGGGACATTGATTATACATTCCTCAAAAGCCCCCCCCCCAGCTCCCAGTTTATGTGTTGCCTTAAAAACTGCTTAAATAATGATGAATTCATTTTCCATGGATCATCGCAGCAGTGGCAGTCATTTGCTTGCCGTTAGCCTCTCGAAGGTCTTGGTGGTGCACATTTCAATAACAATTCGGTCTCTTTTAGATGATTCTCTACGCTCAAACGTGACTGCCATGGAAGAGAACTTCTCATGTCTTTCCAAAACCACTTACTAAAAAATAATCAAAATGTCAAGCACCATGTCTCTCTGTCGAAGGCGATTTTCCTTCCCGTGACGCTGAAGCTTTCAATGACGTGGGTAATTCGAAAGAATCCTGGGATCAATCTCAATGCAATCTCAGCTCTGAAGGGTTGGTATCACACCAGTCAAGGGCCTGCACAAACTTTCTGCACATGATATTTATTGCAAATACACTCACTCAAATGTGCTACTTGGCCTCTCAAACAGCTCCTTAATGGAAAAATCCTCCACACGCTAAAGAAATAACAAACAGTAAAATGAGAGAATTTCCATGACTAGTGTCTCCAAGGGCGATATCAGGATGCTCACGTAAGAGTTCTGGATGTTCCTGTGTGAACTTAATCTGCTTGGTGGAGAGAAGAGGGAATCTACAGTATATAAGACATGGGATTTTTAAGGAGCACCTTCTGAAAGGTCAAAATGTTCAGGATCTAGAATGTTTTCTTTAGAATTTAGCTGTCTAGTTATGGTGTTTTAATGTCCATGGTCTGACTTGTAGTAGGGCATTTGTTCAAAGCACTTTACTACTTGTAATTGCTGAAAAATTTATCATCATCACCATCAATTTCTTCTCGACCGATGCAGAATCAGAGAAGGTTGGATCCTACTCCAGGAAGCATGTTGCATGCAGCAGATCACACCGAAGTAGCAGCAGGACCCTCTGTCAATAGAGATGCCGCATAGACATGCCTTTGGCCTGTGGGACAAAACCAGAGCCTCATGCATACTGCACACAGACAGCATAACCATATCAAGAATTAAAGAATTAAACTCCGCATGGCGGAGGGCGGTCCGGAGTGGATAGGCTTATGTCTTTTTGTCTCTGTGTATGTGTCTGTGTATGTTGTGTGAGTGGGTGTATGGTCTATGTGTATGGCTGAGAGGTGTGTCTGCGAGGTGTCTGTGTGGGTGGTGTGGGCCTGGGTCCGGGGCTAGCTGCTCCTTCCTGGGCGCGGCTGCCTCCTTGGCATGGTTGCTGGCCCTCCTCCCCGGGTGGTGGCCTGGGGGGGGCTCGGGCCTCTCCGGCGCGGGTGGGGCTCTCTGCCAGGGGCCGGTCGGCTCCCGGCCACCTGGGGTCCTGGGGCCCTGGCCCTGGCCCGTGCGGGAGCGGCTGTCACCCTCGCGGGGTCGGCTGCCTGTTGCCTCTGGTTCTCTGGGGCTCGTGCCCTTTTGGCTGCGGGGGCTGCACCTGGGACCTCCCTCCTCCTCCTGCTGGGGTGGGGACCCGGATGTCGTGGGGACGTGGGGCCTTGGCTCTTCCGTGCTTATGGGGGGCTGCGGACGCCTTGGGTCTCCTGGGCCTGTCTCCGCCGGCCTCGGGTTCTTGTGGGGTGTGGTTGCGGCCCCCCACCCTCGCTATCAAGGGCATTCCATGGAGAAATTCACACGCACCCAACACATGCATACATGTTCAAACACCTCCCCCAAACAAATGAACACACATGCAAATACACCTCCACGCTCCCTTCCAAGCACATGCTACAATTTTGTATGTCTGTATATCTGTTTTTTCTTGCCTTATGTGCTTTTTACGTTACTCCTGTCTTTCTTAGCCTCTCTGTCCCACTGTTGTCTCCGCCTTTGTTCGTGTTTTTTTGTTTTTTTTCTCTCTTTCCTTCTTTCTCTTTCATTTCTCTCCCTACCCCTTTTCTTCACTCATTTTCCTAATCTGTCACTCCCTTCCGGGCAGCACGGCAACTGGAATATTTTACATGTATTAAATAAGATACAATAAATATACGAATAAAAAGAAATTGACCAACATGAAGGGCCTATACAGTACAGAGTTTATAGAGCCCCTCATGGTAAAGCAAATATGTCTGACACAGCAGTGAATTCAGACCATTATTCTGCTTGCGAAAGCTGCCGGACAGGACACATTAAAAACAAAAAAAAAAAACGCCATCTTGGACATATGAGACCTCAGAACTGTCCACTAAGCCGGCACATCAACCTGTTAATGGGATAAGTTTTGTTATTGTTTTTGTATTGTTGCTATTGTTAATTTTTTTAACATTATTATCAAGCAAAGTGTGCTCTAAAATTCTAAGAATTTATTTCACTATATATATTTTCCAGGTCTATTTTTTTATCACTGTGGTATAACCTGTTTTGTATATATATTAGGGGTCACACCATATATTCCTGAATTATTTGTATTACAAGGTTTGAAGAGCAAAGGGCCAAAGTCCACCACTCACCTCTCACAGGCTATAAGAATTAAAATGAGGCTGTAGGAAGTCGGTCCAACAAAAATACTTCATAATATTTCTTTCCTTGTTCTGACATCACACAGAGCCTAAAGATACTCTCCAGATCCTTCTCCAGAGTATCATGATCACTCGCTTTTGTGGAAAATCTAATTGTTTTTCGTAAATATCAAACATCACTCCTATTGTACCAGGGATTTCAATTTTGAATCAACTCTGGGTAAACAAAGGGCGACACTCAAAATTAATATGATTTCAATAACAGACAACATTTAGAAATGCATATCAAATAATTGAAGCGCAGTTAATCCCAATGGCAAATAATGAATACTAATTTGAGGGAACAGTAGTAGTATTTGAATTTCACGTTGATGTTTGTTTTTAGCACAGTTACCAATGCAATCCATTAGTTTCTTCATCCGAAACCAACCTCAGTCAATTTCCTACAGAATGGTGTAATAGATTGATGAGAAATGTTTCTCAGCCCTCTGCAGATCACACTCTCAAAGACAAAAGGACACAGTATCAGTCTGTTCTGTTTGCTCTTCCAGAAAGTTACGGAACTGAAAATACCCACCTGCAAATTCACCCCCCAAAAATCCCTCGAGAACCCTACATGTTGTATTTAAATTAGGAGAAGTGAAAATTAAAAAGATTTTAAACCCAGTAATATGAAATATATTATAATGCTAAATACATTATCAACATAACAGACGTTTAAAAAGTTTAGCAGTAAAAAAGCTGTTATGAGGTTCAAAGTAATTTCATGCTAATTATGCAAAATATTAGCAACATATTAATTAAAATAGCTTAATGTCAGAATTACAGATGCTAAGGTTTGTCACTGTTAAATGGAATATTCATCCATCCATTAATTGTAACCGCTTACCCTCTACAGCAGGCTTGTGCAATTATTTTCTGTGGAGGGCCAAATCCAAGCTTCACCATGTCAGCAGGAACCATTTTTAAATGATTATTTTCATATCCCTTGAAAGCTGCAAAACAAAGAAAGATTTGTTTTTATGTGCCTGAATGAAAGCGGATGTATTTTTCGTTACTCATGGAACTTAAAAATAAAACGTTACCCATTTTGTTTCCATTGCAGCGATTGCACGGGCCAGTGAAAATAGCGCCGCGAGCCGGATATGGCCAGTGGGCTGACTTTTGCCCAGTTCTGCTCTACAGGGTCACGGTGTGATTGGAGCCTATCCCAGGAAACACAGGGCATGGGGCGGGGGGACGCTAGGATGGGATCCTGGTCCGTCGCAGGGCTTGCACACGGTCACAGCCGATGGGCAAGAGAAATCATCGCCTTTGCTCATTTCTTAGAATGCAGGAGGGACCTATTGGTACCTGGAGGAAGTTCACACAAACTGAAGAACATGCAAGCTCCGCACACGCACAGCCAAGAGTGTGAACTTAACCCAGAATCACTGAAACATGAAGCCAGACTGATAGGCACTGGGCAAATGTGCTTCACATTTGTGTGTACCGTAAGTGTGTAGTACGATAATTTAAAAAGGTGTTTTCACATTGCATATACTGCTGACAACATTGTGATCGATGCAGATGGTGCACAACCACACACCACATTTGTCACATGCAGATCCATCGCATACCATCGCATTCAGTAACGCCGTGTTTTCTCTTCCTGTGCCCGTTGCGGGGTTCTGACTCGGCTCCCGGTAGCAGCTCCTCTGACCACACTCTCCACCGTTAGATCCCCTAGTGAAGCTCATCTGTCCGCTTCAGATGAAGGTGCAAACTCTTGGGTTCTCCATAAGCGGTGCCCGTGTGGGAGACACCGTTTCATGTGAGAAAACATACAATTATTCCAGATCCGGGATGCACGTTGATGCTCTCTCAGAATATCCGCCTGCCATCTGCTCCTCAAAGACCTCTCCAAATTTTGTCGTTTGCAGTCTTTATGCTTTATGCATGCTTCAACCAGGCTGGTTCTTCTCCATTTCGGTTCCTAGGCTGGGCTCAGAGTAGGAAAGAAATTATGAGTTATGAGTTCCTCCACGTTCCCAGGTACAGAGTTGCTTCGGCTGAGGAAACCTCACTTTGATGGGTCGTGGGGGGGGGTTGACTCAACAACTGCAGTTATCCAGAAAAGGGTTTATATATATATATATATATATGCCTGCCTTGTTTGCCATGGCACTGAGCAAAATGGCAGGCGGCTCTGGCTGGAAACGGCGGATCCTCTATGTTGATCCGTTTCTCCAGACTCAAAGTAGCGTCCCTTGGGTGGGTTCCCGGTCTCAGCTGCCAGGGCAGATTTGTCACCCTGAAGATACATTTGCCTCTCACTTCTTCCATCCCAACACAAATGCTTTATTGTTTCCTTGAACCTAACCCTCACAGAATGAACCGCAAGCATCCTGAATCCAGTGCGTTCTGTTCATTGCTGAATGAGAAAAGAAAACAGCAATGCCAGGAAAGCGTCCTCCACAGCCAGAGATGGTCCATATACAGTAGTGCTTTTGTTTTATTGCATGTGAGTTACTGCTTCATGCCCAGCTCTGGACGTAGCTTAGCAATTATCATTTTGGTTGTTGCGGTATTTGCATGCAGTTGTTCAGGAGTCTTCGCCAAAATATCATGGCCAGTTTCAAAGGGAATTTATGCAGTGAGATGCAAGGTTTGACAGAATGTGCCATCACAAACAGGCTCCTGAAGATAGGACTGTGCTGTTTCACTGACATGATGCTCACTGCCAGAAAAGGGTTGTCATGTGGTCATGCTCTTTGTAAGAAGCTGTTTCATATGTGGATGAATGTCACTGTTCTCACTCGCCGGTTCTAAGTTACATTCACTTGTCTGGATGAATCTGATTTTCATCTTCATTAGAATTTAAGTATACTGGACCCCCCCCCATGACATCATTATGTTGCCTGAGATACTGCCCCACCCTCCCCACGCCCCTGTACTGGATAAGCAGGTGGAAGTTGGAAGGGCGGATGGATGAGCTACTATTGAATTTGCGCATCTTTTGTGCTTGCAAGTTGCTCACGAAATTCTTTGTTGGTAAACATATCATCAGTGGCATCATCAATTCAGTCACCCACCCATTGCAAAAATTCACAGTTCCATGGCCTGACATTGGATCAGTGTTTGGCGGTGATGGCTTTTAGCTAGGTCAGTTATTGTGGTTGGAGATCCTTTTATTTTAGATCAAAAGACTTGTTTGATCAGCAAACTTGTTTGATGAGTAAAAAATGTGAGGTTTCCGATTATGGACATCTATGTGTCCATATTGGACCCCTTCTGGATGCTTATTTGCTAGTTAGATGCTAGAAGAATGATTGAAATAGATTCCAAATGTGTTGGACATGAATGAAAAATGCTGTAGGATATGTTTATAGAGTGGAAAGATAGCTGTGAATATGTAATAAGGTTTGTGAAACGGACTGTATCCTGCAGTGGCTTGGGTCATAACTGTATGGACGTAAATAACAGCACGAATACACAAAGTGTATGAGGACAAGTACAAGATTACACAGGGGTGATGTTAATGGTTAGCTGGAGGGCTGGTGCCATTTTATCTTTGTCCCAAATGTAGTCTGTCAGGTTAGATTTTATATTCAGGGGTTGCATGCAGCTTTGGGAAGCCAAAGACAGGCATTTGCATAACTTAAAGAAAACCAGCATTTTACTTTATATCTGTGACTTGTGGGTCAAAATGACCCTACTCCTAGCCTGAGTATTAAGTAACAGTGTAAGCCTTTACTAAAGTTAAGCTGAAGCTAAAAAAATACTTATATTTAGAGCTGAATATTAAGCATATTAGGAATTGTCACCAATGGGATTCTCCTTTGGTGTATGGGCATATAGGAATCCAGTCCCAGCTTTTCATTAGGTTTTGTTAACATTTAAATAAATACTTCGTTTTGCAGCATGGTGTTATGAAGGAGACTGTAACTGTGCTTTTAGAAAAGATTGAAGGTAACTTTTGCCCGTTCTTCATTCTTCCTTTACGCAAACCTGTGCAGTTTGTGCAGGTCTCTGCATGGCATCCGTGCTTCTTTTCCAATGTCACATGTCGGCCATGTCATATTCCAGCACACCTACATTAAATGACAGCGTTTTATAGCAGCAGATGTAGCAAGAACAAGCATTAATATGAATATCCTGTTCACTCACAAATATTGCAGGTATATATGCATTCATGCCCCCACCCCTCTAATTTACATGAACTAATGAGCCCAACAAGATGTAATCCAGGGCTTGAGACACAAGTGCGCCCCCTGGAGTTGACAGCTGCTGTTTCTAAGTAGCCGCAGATGTGGGGTCAGGATTGACCTACACGTGTAAAGCTGCCCTCTGTTACTGAGTCACAGATGATTAACCTTATAAATGGCACTTGAGGTCAATCTCTCAAAACTAATCAGCACTTTAATGCTCTCATTTAACGTGTATATTTGACTGCCGTTTGAAATTAATTGAGAGTTCTCCTGCAATCAGTAATCAGTCTGAATGCAAAGCACAGAGACAGCAGAATGAGCCGCGTCCTCTTCAATTAGCAGTTTCTATTGGTGCATTGTTCTCGCAGAAGAAGAGGCTTAGCATTCAAACTTTGTATTAGATATCCAACTATAGCAAACTACACATACTTCAGAAGCTTTAACCATTTATAAACAAACAATCTAGTTAGCCATACGCTCACTGTAAAAGTCTGGTGACAATGTTATATGGAACAGTTGCTAATTTATGCTATAATCTATGGTCAGTTACAATGAGTAGGGACCCCACCTTGGGTTATTCTCTGCCTTATGTCTGTAGTTTTAAGATCCCCCCCCCCCCATAACCATGAATAGGAGAAGCAGGTATAGGAAATGGATGGATGGATGGATGGAACCTTTGCTCAAATATTCAAAGGAAAAAGCAAGATCAGATCAGTATTTTGTTTTTACCTAGAAATTTGCCCTATTTTGAGCTGCTGGTTATATAACCTTTAAGGAAAGGTCATGTAAGGCATTATAACTTTCACAGATCTTGCAAGTGTGGTAAAGACCTTGATATATTTTTCAGAGCAGGAATATAAATGCTTGAGTTGAAAATTTGAGAAAAACACTAAAATGTCTGGTAGACGCTCAGGACATAACAGCAGGTACTCACCTGACTCCTGTGGTGTTAGGCTCTCTCAGCTTTCATGGACCTAATGGAAGAACCTTGAACATAGAGTTGGCACACAGACGCCAACCTCAGAATCACCCAGCAGAACCCACTTTGGCCATTGTGTTCAAGCATCTCCCATCTGCAACTTTTCAGTGCTCTCAGCTGAGCCGTTTTATTTCATTTATTTATATATTTCTTTTTTATATATTGACCCTGGCTGGAGAATAATCAGGGACAGCAGATGTGGGCAATTCGATCTGAGGGCCAAAGACATTACTCTCGCTGGACTAAGGGGCAACCCCCGCAGTCTGCTGCTCAAGTGGCAGTGGGACTTTGGGTTTCCAGAGAAAAGCATTCCCAGGAAGCAGGGAATACAGTATTCCAGTGAGGCCTTCCAGTGAACATGGGCTGCCATGTTTTTTTAAGGTGGCATTCCACCTTAATAAATTAAATTTACTTTAAACCTGTTATGTTATAAAGCCAGTTGTTCTCTGCTTGAGCCTTTTTGGATCTTTATTTATTTGCTGGACATTAATAGCATATAAGTAAAGATTTAAAAATCATAAGAACCCTTGACAAATAACTGATAAATATTGAATTTGATCTTTAAAATTTAATATGAAATCCATCACTTCTTCCTCGCAGCACATAATACTTTTGCTCCTGTGTTAAAAGTGACTTTTTTGTTGGCAGATTTTCTTTAAGCCATACAGCTGTAGGCACAGCATTGTTTTTGACTGCTGGTTCTGACTTGGCTGGAGAGCCGCTGTTTGCTCAATCGGTCTCCCTCTTTTTCTTGTGACAGTTAGCTGCAGTTGTCCTGGTGACTCCGCTAATGGATACACTGACCGTAGCTGACCTCGTTCGCCTTCTGGTGGGATTTGTCTTTTTCCTGGTGTGTTGTTTGTCTCCGATTTTTAGGCCAGGCACGAGGGCATTTGGAGAACCGTTATTCTTGGCAAAGACAATCCAAAGCGAATGACAGTGCACTGCCGCCACAGCTAGCCGTTTAGCCACCTGGTTTACTTTCTCCGGGCCAGAAGGGCGCACTTTGTATAGGAGTAGCATGTCAAGGTGAGAGAAAGAGGAGCAGTGAGGTGAGGAATGCTCAGACAGCCGTGTTTTAGATCTACTGAGTTTTACGCCATAATTTAATTAAGATTAAGAGCACACAGTAACAGAGACAAACAGTGATCAATAGATTCTTGGGGGGGGGGGTGGTGGCTGTGTCTAGAGGGAATCACATGACCCAGATTGGCTCAGATTGCCTTGTTGGTTTGCCCCACCATTAATATCTAACAGCACAAATTGATGTGCTCCATTCTGGCTGGTAAACCCCTGCAGACCCCTTTATCTCCTCTATATACGTGGGTGTGGAATCATTTCGTGTAACTGCACAGGTAGTTCTGGCAGTCTAATGACAATTCTATAGTAATGTGATTTAATGCTTTATTAAACATGTTAGCATAAAAACCTGCGTTACTTTTTACTCATAAATAAGTCATCATTCTTATCGGCATAGTTTTCATTGGCTTCCAAACCCAGGCACCTATCTGTTGACAGTTTGTATGATAACTTAACAGATTTGCCACTTCCAGTGAGTAGTCTGACCAGACGTTCTATCCTTATAGAGACTATATTTTTAAGAGCAGATTAGAATATTTTAAAATACTAATTATTTTTTTCAGAAAAATTAACCTATAGTTGATTCTATTATTCGTTTTTGTTCGTTAGCCATGGCGTAAATGGGATACACCACTT